TTTGTTTTCTGTTGCACACCTTTAGCACATGGTAAAGCTCACGTTTAATCACTGGCAAAGCTCACGTTTAATCACTTTCCTTTAACTTACGGTTTTATGGAAGAGGATTTGAATTTGAATGGGCCTTTCTTATGCTTAGATCAGGTCTTATTTTATTAATTATCTTCTAAGTATGTTTCTCTAAAATACAAGCAACAGCCAGAGCCTGAGCAGTTCTTTTTATCACTTAGGTCCCTGAACAACCTTCACAGGATCTCATGGCTCATAGTTCTTGTACCAAGTAAATCTAGAAGAAAATAAAGGGACAAGAATGGGTATTAAAAAACAAACAAACAAAAAAACCACTCCAAAACTAAAATCAAAACCAACAAAAAAAAAATCACCAAACCAACAAAACACAAAGAACTTCATCACTGTTCACCCTGTTCTGACCAGGTGTCGTGGAGAATGTTCCACTACACATGTGGTGCCCAAGTCATGTCGTCACAAAATCACCTACACGAGGTCTTAATTTTGAAATGTTTGTGTCCCCATCCTGTGATTATTTCTGCTGGAAAAAAAAAAAAAAGTAATCTAAATTCTGTTCTGTCACAAGTGTACTATCATAGCTGAACACGGCTTCCGCTCGTCCAAAAACAAAAAAAAAACAAAAAAAAAAAAAAAAGAAAAAGAAGCTTGGACAATTTTAACCCTTCTAAGTCACGTGGCACCCAGACAAGCCTCCTTGTAGCTGTACCTTCAATTAGCTTCACCTCCCTGTAGTATTCCTGACTCCTCCTCCAGATGCTGTGCAGCTCTGTATCTCTAGATAACTGATTTAGCCAAGAGCAAGAAGAAGAGCCTGTTGGCAAATTGCATTATGTTCACTTGGATTACTGGTGAACATTTCTGGATTTTAGCAGTTACAATCGTTAACACCAGCTACCAGAAGCCTGTGGTACAATGAACTTGGGGGAAGGCTTTTTTTCTGCACCAATAACATAGATTATTCTACTTACTGCATTCTTCAGGCAAAGCCTGGTATTTGTAGGAAAACTGCTTTGTTAATGTCACAGCCCAGACATCAAAAGCACGGATTATAGAGAAGCACATTATTCTTCCAGATGTACATGACCTGCCAAGATGTCATTTTCAGCAGCTGATTTAAAAGCAGGATACAGTTGAGAAACTGAATTTCATGACACAGATGTATATATTTACTAATCAATCTTAGGGGAAAAAAACCAAGTAAAAACCCCACCCACTGTGCATATCAACAGCTGGATGCAAATCAAAGAATCACTTTAGTCCTTTTATTTTTTTTAATTGAATTTCAATCCTGAATCAAAGCTCATGCTGTGCCACACTTGAGGCAAGCTACTGAGTCACATCATTCAAAGAGAGTAGGACAAAAATATCACTGAATGCTGATCCTTCATTGAAAATGGGCCATTCCCTCATTCTCCTTAGCTACTTCATTTCTGTAATTAAATTGTACCTGTAGAATTAGACCTCTTCCATTACAAAGCTCTATTACTCAAAATCATTTCCTGAGTACTAAGCCTGCAACACACCAAATCGTCCAGAACAGTTCAGCAAAAACATAACGTCATATATCCACATGACTTTCAACTGATACAGTCAGCAAAGCACAGACACTCTGCAGGGAAGGAAATATAAAAAAGGGACCTTCTGAAAAGCATGCTCAACATTTCATGCTTATTCTCTAAATGTCAAACAACTGAAGACGTTCATCCTGCAAGCTATTACTTTTAAAACTTGCCTGCTGTGATTCTGAAACTCGAGTCCATTTATTTCACTTTTATACAACTTCACTCCTTCTTTTAGAGGTCTATCGCCAGAGAAACTCATACTGAAAGGAAGCAAAGCTCAACTTCTTTGTTGCAAATATGAACATCAGCTCATTAATTTATGCAATATACCAGCCTAAACATTCAAATGGATGTTTAAGTAATGCTGCCTGATCTGACTCAACACATCCACTCAGCCATTCATGTACTTCATCTTCTCTTAAACTTCACTTTAGATACACGTGCGAAGAACTTTTAAAGAAAAAAGGACTAATTTCTGTGGCTTGTATGTGAAACTGGATCCAGCAGCCAAATACCCCTGCAAGCATTCACGTTTGCTACACAGGTGTTTTAAAATGTCACAAAAAATCTATGTGCAGTAAACGACATAAGAGAAAACAAGAAACAGCCAATTACACAAGTAAAACATGCTGTTTTAGGCTCTGTTCTACGATTAAGGTGACTGCAAAGCCCGGCGCGTGAGATGCTGCCCATCACCGCTTTTCTGTTCCAAAACAAAAGGCAAATCCGACAGATTCCCTCCTCCGCGGCTCGGAAAGCGCAGTTCTAACAGGCTGCTGAGGACTGATGTCCGCGCTGGGCTCCAAGCGGCGCCTGGACGAGCCCGGAGCGCGGCTGAGGATCCGGCCGGGGCAGCTCCTCCCGGCCGGGGGTGCCGGGGATCGGGGCTGTGCCCGCGGGGCAGGGGCGTTCCCCGAGGGGCACGGCGGGGCCTCCCGTGCCCCCCGGCGGGGCTGAGTGGGGCAGGCACCGAGGGCGCGGGGGGCGGCGGGCAGGGCCCCCGGCCGGGCAGGGCAGGGCAGGGCAGGGCAGGGCAGGGTAGGGCAGGGCCAGCCCCCGGGGCCGGGGCAGCACCGGCGGCGGCACCAGGGAGAGCGTGCGGGAGCCCTCCCGCTCGGCGCGGGGCAGAGCCGGCCGGGCGCTGCCCCTCACCTGGTAGATGGCGGCCCAGCTGGCGGCCTGGTCGAGCCGCTGGAACTCCTTCTCGATCTCCATGGCGGGGGCCTGGCCCCCCGCGCTGCTCCGGCAGCTCCGGCTGCAGCTGCTGCCGAGGCCGCGGCGGCTCTGCCCGGCCCCCGCCCTCCCTCCGCCGCCGGAACTGCGCACCCGCCCCAGCGACGCGACGTCCGGGGCGGTGGGGCCGGGGCAGCGCCCGCCCCGCGGGCCGGGGGGCTCTGGGGGCAGCGCCTTCCCCTCGGGCCCCGAGCGCCGCCCCCGCGCCCCCGCCCAAGCCCCGGGCAGAGCGGCCCCGGCCCGGCCGAGGGGCGCAGGTTGGAGGCGGCAGCGGGGACGGAGCGGGTCGGAGCCATTCGGGCCCCAGGCCGGGCCCCCTCTGGTGTCTGAGCCGTGGGGAAGGGCTGAGTCGTGTGTCCAAGCGGCTGCAGGAGGGTCGGAGTTCTTTTCAAGTTCTCCTGCGGCCGTTTGGTTGCGGAGGAAGGGCCGTCAGGAAACGGGCGGAGTGGTGGCAGTGCCTGATCTGGCAGTGCAGAGCGCTTGGATGGGAGTCCATGTGCTCACTTAGGGATGGGAAGGCATTCTCTCTTGCTGCAGTCAGATGGAGAGGTTTTTCGCTCTTACACAATCTGCAGAATGAAATGTATTTCTGTCAGTTGGCCCATACCCTGTAATTTAAAGGAATGCCACAAGCTCTGTTGGCGTTTGATCGCCTGTCCTCAGCTCTTGGATTCTTACTCTTGATATGGCCATTACTATCCAGGTGCTATAGTTCTATCACAGGAGGGAAATCTACCCCATCTTTTTCCTAAGACCATTTATTTCCAAATGAATGTAGCCTACACATCTCAGAGAGCCAAGGTCCTTAATCCTGAATTTCAAGTCCAGATGTTCCAAGCATATGGACATAGTTATCCCAAGTACAATGGTAGAGCATAATTTGTTTCCCAAGCAAGGAATTTTACTCCTTATGTCAGACAGCTTCTGTTTGTTCCATGGCTGTTTGGAACTGCCTTTTGGAGCACACAGTTACTGAGGGCTGGTGCCACACTTGGTACCTCTGCAGCAGGAATGCTGACCCAAAATAAGGTGGTGAAAGCGGATTTGTAGGATCGACACTTTTCATGAGAGAATTCAATTATAAATGCCCTAAGCACAGCATGGTGGAGTTTCCAACATGTCAGGTGTGTCAGTGTTGCTGACATGGATTTAAACCACTTTGCTGCTTTTTCCTTTCCCTGCCATTTCAGGGTCACAAATTATGAATGTATGTGGGGAGTCTTGCTGTGTTTCAATGATTCCATACTGAGAGATGGCTCTTTCTCATGTCACCAAAGAGGAGTTCCTGTGGATGGCCATTTTCTGTGCAAGCATAAACCTGATTCTATGGAGAAGAGGTCAAAGTTGTGATGCTACAGTTAAATGGAACTGAATTACTGCATCATATAAAGGAAACGAGCGCACGATCTTTTATGCTTTTGTTACCTGACTGGACTTGATACATAAAATCAGCACAAGTTTTTCAGTCAATCATCAGCAATATGTTCTGCTCAGTGTGTACTGTTGTCACAGAAATAATGACAAAAACTGATATTGCCCTGAATAAATTGATATTCAGCTGAATATCACAGATTTCACAGAGTAACCCGGAAAATCAGTGTACCTTAGATTTCTTTGTAAATTTCTGTCCATCGCAGGGGTAACACTTGAAATGTATCGGTCTGGTTCAAGGAATGATTTTCTTGAACAACTGGAAATTTTGGAGGAGATAGACTACATTACGAATATTTGCTTTTACCTATATATGCTTGTATAAAAGAAGTAAGAAACCATTTGCACCAGTGACACACATTGTGACTCCCATGTCAGAAGAGCACAGCGAATTGGTGCATATGCTGTGGAATTCTGGCTTTGCTTTTGCATGCAATGACATCCAGGGCTAAAAAACTGAGACCCTCACAATATGCAGTTAGATACCAATATATGTCAAATCCCAGAATCACTAAGGTTGGAAAAGACCTCCGAGATCACCGAGTCCAACCTGTGCCCGATCCCCACCTTGTCACCCAGCCCAGAGCACTGAGTGCCACCTCCAGGAATGGTCACTCCACCACCTCCCTGGACAGCCCCTTCCAATGCCTGACCACCCTTTCCGTGAAAAAATTCCTCCTGATGTCCAACCTGAACATCCCCTGGCACAGCTTAAGGTTGTTTCCTCTCATCCTATCCCTTGTTCCCTTGGAGCAGAGCCCGACCCCCACCTGGCTCCCCCCTCCTGTCAGGGATTTGGGGAGGATGAGAAGGTCCCCTCTGATCCTCATTTTCTCCAGGCTGAGCCCCCCCAGCCTGCTCAGCTGCTTCTTGTAGGACTTACCATCTAGAGCCTTCCTCAGCCTCATGGACACACTCCAGTGTAATTGTGTGCCCACAATCTTCAGGGATCCAGCCCTAGAGAGGGAATTGGGGTATTCACGGATGGCTGAGGAAGGGCCAGCATGGGGTGGCCTGGTTTGCTGGACCTTTCATTGCCTGATCAGCGGGGGAGCAGCAGCATCCTTGAGGGGCTGGTTTCACTTCAGCAGCCTCGTGGGGAGCACGGCTGGGACATTCTGGCAGTGGGATTCAGCACGATCAGGCCTGGGAGGTGAGGGTGGATAACAGCGATGAAAAGGAGATGCAACTCCTTGGAGATCAGACCAGGCTGAACACCAGGCTGGGGTTCAGTGGATTGGTCGGGGACATCATGCATGTGGTACCTTCAGGGCGTGAGGGCTGAGGGGGTCCCTCACCGTGAGGGCTGAGAGGTCTGTCAGGGTGTGAGGGCTGAGGGGGTCCATCAGGGTGTGTGAGGGCTGAGGGGGTCCCTCAGTTTGAGGGCTGAGGGGGTCCATCAGGGTGTGTGAGGGCTGGAGGGGTCCCTGGTGGTTTGTGAGGGCTGAGCGGGTCCCTCTCCCCACACCGGAGCCGTTTTACCTGCCCATAGAGGAGCTCTGGCGAAGATGCCCGTGACAGAACATCACCTGTAGCAACACGGAATGTCCGCACCATCGAGAGGAGCCGCTTGGTGTCACTCCTCCATCGTTAGAGCTGTGTGGAGCGGAGGGAACACGGGCACCGTGTTCGCGGTCGGTGTCTCCTGTGGCTGCATTGCTGGAGGCAGGTGGGTGAGGGCAGAGCTGCTCATGCAATCAAACAAATGTCTTTCTCTTCGACACGACCTGTTTTCTGTAGTGATAATTATGTCCATATCCTGCATTATCCCTTGCAGTGCCTCTGATTCTCCAGGGACGAGGCTGAAATTTAGGATCTGAGTGGCTGTGGCATCTAACCTGTGGGCAGGAGGCTGCAAGGTCAGTCCTGCAGGTCATTCCAAGGGCTCATTCCTCAGCTCCCAAACAGGTCTGATGTCTCCTGTGTGAAAGCTATGGACACCATTTTTCATTTTATGAAAGATATTTAGCACAAAATTATCGTTGCAGCAATGCTGTAGGATCATGCATGGATATTGTCAGGCACAGGCTGTTCCTGTCCAAAGTAGGCTCTGCATGAAAGCAGGATGAAAAGACCATCCTTGATCCATTTAATCCAGTAATAATTAAAGTTCTATTTTATTTTCCTTCAGTATAGGGTCTTGAAACTGCTATAACTGTCAGTGGAGAATTATGAAGAGTTGAGCCATTTAAGTTTTTACACCATTTCTTTCCAACCCTCATTGTGAAGATGTATTTTCCCACTGGCAAAATATTTCAGTTTAAAATGCTTCTGGAGGGAAAATTGACCCTGGCACAGTATGACTTGTTTTGAAAGGGACTTCTGAACTATTTCCTTCTTATTATAAACCAGTACAAATGAAAAAAAAAATCTTAGAATACAATCTAGTGATGATTGGGATAGAATAGCATAGGTAATAGGAATGTCTGGGTTGGAATTGTTATGAGAAGGTCTGTTTTCATGATATTTCCAGTCCTGGCTTGCAATGAAGAGAAGGTAGATTAATCTCTGGATTTAGAATTCCAGCTGAAGCCAAAGGGGGCAATACCCATTTACCCTAATGCTGAGTGGGACTTGACAGACTCTACACTTTTGGATGCCTGTCCCAGTAGAATTGAAGGTCTGAAATATATTCCACTCAAGAATATGGGCTGAAAAGGGCCAGTTGGATCAGACACCTGTGCCCTACAAACGTGTTCAACCCTTTAACAGATATTTAGTCCTCAAATGGTGCCTCCACACAGGTGCAGAGCAGCAAAATATTTCCTAACAGGCTTTGTGAAATTTATGATCTACCTGTCAAAATGCTAAAAGTTGCAAAATCTGCAAAGTATTGCATGAAAAAAAAAACAACACAGAAGAGATTAAAAGTATGACTGGTGACTTAGATCCTTACCATAATGGAGGATTAGGTAAATGAAAACATTCTGTGGTCTCAGGACACAACCCTTCTTGCACTTTACTGAGGAAGGCAGTCCTTCTCCAAAATGATTGCAACCTGGGTAACTTGAGGCACATTGCTTTTTCATCCCAGTGTAATGTGATTCAGAGTTTTTTGTTGTCATATTATCCATTACAACCTGGCACTGGAAAAGAAAATGAGAATCCAAAGAAAAGGGTCCGATCTTGTTACTTATTTCCACTTCATAAAAAAATGCAGGTGTTTGTCACAACTCAATCATACATTTCATATCCTCTCTTCATCCTCTGAAGTTCAAAGCAACTCGATGAAAAAAATTGCAAATAGACAAAGCACATTCCGTGGAGTGGCAGGATACGTGACTCCTCAGGACACACTGCTCTGTCAGCTGTCAGGCTTGTCCTTTAGCTATTAGGAAGCAGAAGTCCTGGGATGGGATGGGATGGGATGGGATGGGATGGGATGGGATGGGATGGGATGGGATGGGATGGGATGGAGTGGGATGGGATAACCTGAATGTTGTTAGCAGGACCAGGATACCCAAACCCTGCTACCTCTGTTAACAGAGAGGAAGAATAACTTTTGGATTTTTTTTTTTGTAAAGGATATCAGTTGACACTAAACTAACATTAAGAAATCACCTATTTGGAATTGTGTGTGCAAAGGAAGGAAGGGATATACCTGTTACCTGTGCATGGACATTTCAGCCATGGGTGATGGTTTGCCTCGGGGGAAGTGTGCAATGTATGTGTGTGCCTCTGCACCTTCTGCTGGTGGACTTTTTTCAGCCTTCATGGCTTTGCAGGAGGTGTTTAATGTCATGCTGTGGCAGGAGCAGGTATAGGGAGAAATCTTTAAGTCAAAGCTGCTAAAGACTGTCTCACCATTGGGTGGCACTCCAGTCCTTCCTGCTCGTGGCAATCACAGCCTGAATTTTACTCTTCAAATAATTTTAGGTCAAGCAGCAACTAATGGAAAGACTTTCTTTTTTTATGGCTAATGTGATAATAAAGTAAAATTACACTTGCAGAGCTGGCTTTTGCTTTGCAGCATTAGCTTTTAGGAAGTCTGTGTTGAAATCTTGCCAGATTGCTTAGTTTTCTAAATAAAGATTTCCAAATGCAGTTGATTCTGTCACATGGGACTCAGGTGTTGTGTACTCTCTACTGTCAGAAATTATGTGAGTATGTTTGTGATTATAGGGTATTTTACCCCAAGGCTTTCACTCACTGGTTTGTGCTTTATGCAGTGTTTTAGATTAATGAGAGAGTGTTTTCAGCAACCCTTTCCTTAAATGATCCTTTTTCCTCTCAGCAGCTACTGCACACCTGAGTTTGGAACCACCTTCAGCTCTGCTTCCCGTGGCTGCAGGATGGTGAGTTCTTAAGTCTGCAGACCTGTAGTCTGGCAAGCATAAATGTTTTTCCCCTCAAGTTGAAGACTCAGGAAAATGTCTGCAGTTCATTCAAAGCTGTGACTGATTTTTTTACACATGCAAGGAAGCACTAGCTTAAATTAGAGTTATTGATACACTGTTAGTTCAGTATTGAGACAGTTCTGTCCTTGGTGTCCCTGTGACCATGGCATGGCAGGTATTGCAAGCAGGGCAGTTGCAAATTTACCTGGGTTTCCCTGGGGGTTTTGCAGCATGTCCTGAATTCCTTGCTGCCAGTACACTTAGCTTGGAGCAAAGTGAATTATATATATGAACTGCTGACCAGATTCGAGGCTGTGTATCCCAAGGCAAAGTGTGTGGCACTAATATTGACCTCCCTTGCCACCTGCTGCTGGTTTCTGTGGTATCCCACCCCTGCAGTTGTGCCAGCCTGACTATTTATGCAGCTGCACTTGGAAACGGAGTTGGTTTTGACAACAAAAAAACACTCCCCACAAGAAACTGGGTTTTCTTCTGGATTAGTTTTAAGCAAGATCAGGTCTCCAGTTTAGTGAACCACGTGGCACAGAAACAATTTTTCTAGAACAATAGAACATGGTAATGCTGGGGCAGGAAGAGAACAGAAGACAAATATCAGTACCATAAGCCAGTATTGCCCCTAAAGACTTCATCCTGAGACACCACAGCTAAATCTACAGTTTCAGTGATCAACAGTAAACTGTGTTCTATATTATTATTATTATTATTATTATTATTATTATTATTATTATTATTATTACTACTACTGCTGTGGTTGGAGCTGCTTCCATATGCCATCTTCTGGTGACACACAGACTTGGTAATGGCCCTGACAAGCACAAATAAACTGTACTGAGCACAACTCAGTGTGGAGCTTAATGTTTGTGGCAAAATCCATGCCAGTCATAACTAAGATCACTGTAGTGACAGCAAATGCCTGTTGTGGAAAGAATGGCCTGAATTTCTTTTTATCTAGGAGTAGAACAAAAGCCTTCTAGTTTCAGGTAAGCCTCTAAGTGGAAGGTATAGTGACAGGAAAATAAGAGTTCATCCATTTTTACCGGTATTTCCTTGAAACAAGTATGACTGTTATCATATTGTCCTCTAAAGAAGAGTTATTTCCAGAGGAACATCTTAGTACTTTTACAGTGTGAGAGTTTTATCACTCTTTATTTATTTCCCATAAAGGAAGTGGAGCTCAGCTCAAGTCCTTTTTTCTTGGTCAAAGAAGGGCTCAATAAAACTGCTTGAGAAACTACCACCACATTTGGGATGACAACAGGGAGATTTACACATTGTATTTACCCAGCACTGTATATAAACAACTATGGTTCAGCTGAAACATTTTTTCCAAGTCAGATACAGTAAAAATTCAAATCTGGCCCAGTTTGAGAAGGAGATGAGTCAGAAAAATCCTGCTACAGGGGAAAGAAACCTCAGTGCATGGCTGGCCTTGGTGACAACCTGCCAGGAGAAGAGGGACCTATGAAACTTTCTTCTAACGTTTTATCTGAGCCTTATCTGCCCAAACACTTCAGGGTTCAGGAAGAGCAGCCAAAGTCAATTTTTGCTGAGAGTGTTTAAAACCGAAAATAAACAGAAGGGAGAATTTGTACGTGTGCAGGAGGAGGCGTTGGGGTGGAGAATGGACAGGGTGGTGGGATTGGGGAGGGAGTGATTTAACCTACATTGACTCTTCTGAAATCCTCTTGGAAGTATCCAATGTTTTCTCAAATGACAATGAAATTGCACAATCCATAATTGTGGTGGTGGAGAGCTGCTGGCGTGTGTCCAGGGGCCAGTGTTCTCTCTGCCCTGCCAGGTAGGTGAAACAATAGTCAGTATGAATTACAGAACAGCTGTGTCATTACTCCATGCTAGTTATCTGATTCTGCAAAGCCTGAAAAAATACCTTCTGACATGTATAAAACAGAAACTGAATTTTCAGGTCTTTGTCTGTTAGTATTTTAAAATACTAAAAAAAAAAACAAAACCTAAAAAACAAAACCAAACCAAAAACCTCACAGTGTGCACTGTTATGCTGGTCCAGACACAACAAAATCCTTGGGGTTTCAGGAGCATTTTGTGAACTTTCCCCCTGTCTTGTCATCTGAGAAAAGGTACACTGATGTTGTTGTCATCCAGTTTTGTCTGATGGTTGAGAGATTAGTTATCTGCTCTGTGCCTCAAATTTATTCTGGTTCCTATGAAAAATATTGTCTGTGAAAACACGAAACACTTACAAAATGTCAACATTTCACTCCTATCTGCCTGTAGATCAATATGAATGGGTCACAGTGACCTCTCAGGGAGCAGGTCTATGTGACAACCTGAACTAATATGTATCCAAGGTCCTTTAAAAAAAACCCACAAACCATCTTTATCCATGGGGGATCTGTTCCCAGCAGGTTAATTTCTATCAGATAGGTCTGAATGATCCTGTATAAGATGACTTCTTTTAAATGTGCACTGTAGCAGAAGTAAAACTTACATTGGTACAGACACATTTAGCCTAGAAGCACACATTCTGCATTGCTGGTTGTTTCACTTTCCATCTTCATCAAGTGAAAGTATCTCGTGACACCTTAAACCATTTTTAACAGGCACAGATGTAGGAGAAGCTCTCAAATTGCACATGCAATTACAGCACAGTGTGGAGGAAGCTGGGCACATCTCTACCTTGGGATAACATTTTCAAAAGCTGTTAACTAAGAGGTTTAAAAGACATGTGTCCCAGGTGCTGATGTGGCCAGACTGTGGTGCAGCATGTTTGTGCAGATGTGTTATCAGGCAGCTCTAATTAATGCCCCTCAGGTGCAGCAGAACTCCAGTGGGCCCTTCCTTCCTGCCCAGCTTCCCATTGCTCCACACCTCTGCCAGGACTCAACATCACTCCTGCTTGGGTGCCAGGGCTCTGTCACAAGTGCACAGTCTCACAAACGGGTGAACCCTCCGTGTGATGTGGACACACAAGAAATTTGTTTGGAATGTAAAGATTCAGGGTCCTAAGTGTTAATGCTTTTAAAAATCACAGTGTAACTACGGGGAATGCCTTTGCAGACCTTGGGCTGTGTACTGAAGTTCTGAGTACAGCTGCAACTAAGGGGTAAAACATTTCAACAGACTTTAAAATATTGTCTGTTCCTGGTCTCTTGGAAAGAATTGTTGATACCTGGATGCATAGTCCAGTCAGATTCCATGTACTCTGTGATTTGTGTTTAGCACCCTTGTAGTTTAATCAGGAGCCAGGTAAAGCTTGATGTACTGAAGATGGCTTTAATCTTAAAACCTGAAACTAAATAGCAAAACCAGAAGAAATATGAATACTTGGGATTTAAATTTAGCTCCTGCTCTTTGGCGTGTTAATTGAAAATCGCACAAAATAAATAGGGAGAAGACAAATAGGAACACAGGTACATTGCAAAGGCTTGGGTGTTCTGGTTTCAAGTTGTTTCCTTCCGAAAGCTTTGTATGAGCACGAGGTACATCACAGGTCAGGTGGAGCCACCTCACCCCGAGCAGTCAGGAGTCCCCATGTCCCATAAGTTGTGTCTGTGCTGGGCTGCAGTCACCACCCAGGGAGGCATTTTCAGGCTGTGCCAGTTCTGAGATGAAATCCCTGCAAAGTTTAAGGGTAGAGCACAGCATTACATTGTGGAGCTCTACTGTCTAGCTCTTTTTAGTTAGCAGGATTCTATTTTCCCAAAGGAAGAGATTGAAAGAGTGAGGAAGGAAACAATGCTTCATTAGGTCCACTGAGTGTGTACTTTGGGCTCATGTCCATTGAATTAAGCAAACAAGCTGCCCACAGGAGGAACCAAATGCCACAGCTGGGGGTTAACTGGCGACTTGGTGACCAAAACCAAAACTGAAAATGTCCTTTGTCACTTGTAGATCACGAGGGTTTGATTGACATAGCACCTATGGCCAGGTGTGCAAAGAATTGGTTTATTGCCAAGTTGAAAATCAATGCAGAGATTGTTATCTAAGAACTATGTCTGGATCAATTTACAGAACTTCAGTGAAGCAGGTTAAATTTGGTGAAGATTTGGCTGTCAGTTTTGTTATATATGTGGATGTGTGTATAAAAATCTTATAAATTCTCTTGGGGATGGTCCTGTGCAGGGCTAAGAGTTGGACTCAATCATCCTTGTAGGTCCCTTTGAAATCAGCATATTCTATGATTCTGTCATTCTGTGAAATATATTTATTTCTTCCAGCATAAAAGAAAATTGATGAATATCAAGAACAACTCTTGAAGCAGAAGCTCTGGTAATTTCTCAATACAATGAGGAGTTGCTTCTAAGATAAAGCCATTTAGTATGAACTCTATGAAGGCCTTTGCTCACGTTGTTGTTTATAAATATATTATAAAGACTCTTGGTTTTTTTTACTATGGAGGGTTTTTTTAGCACATAAGGCAAATAGTTCCTTTTTATTTCTATCAGTCTGTGCTGTTACATGATGGAATTGAAGAGCATTCAGTTTTCCTAATTGCAGGCACATCTCACATTCCAAATACATGCTCAGCTTTAACTGCCTGTACATAAAATAGGAAAAGGTGGAGATTTAGAGCTGAGTGCCTTGAGCTGTATTCCAAGGATGCTGCCCCTTGTGCTGCCAGGGGATTAAGGAAGGACAGCTGCCTGCCCACTTAGCTCTCATGTTGATTGTGCCCCAAGAATATGAATTTCCACCTCTCTTCTTGATAATAAATTCAGAATTTCTGATTCTCTGCCCCCATAATGTCCTCCCATTTGTGGCAGTTGGCTGGTGATTTTGATGGAAATGAAACTGAGATTGGGAGACTGACAATTATTTTCTAACAGCAGTAATTAATTTGCTCCAGTAGGACTGTCAAGAACTCCAGAAGTGGGGCAAACAAACAAAGTTCCTTTTGAAATGTCTTTGTATGACTGTGCCTGGCTTTCAGAACATCAAAATCAGATCACATATTCACT